CGCGCCTCCCGGTGGCCGCCGCCGTTGTCGCATCCGCCACTGAGCCCGGCTCAGCATCCCCGGCCCCGGACATCCCGCCGCTCATCCCGCTCCCGGTCCCTTCCAGAGACACTCCAGAGAGCCGGGGGACACCCCAAAGAGATGTCTCAGGGACCCCTCAGTATAGCCTATCCCATTATCTCCCCCACCTCGCCATTGCCAGTGGCTGTTGCTGTGCCTGGGGACAAGGGACTCTGCCACCATCCTCGGGTGCTGCAGCCTTTGTCCGTGGCTCAGGACACCCCAAAAAGCCTTTCTCTCCTGGAAGGAGCCTAGGAAGTGGGGATGTGTCCCCCCCAGCACTCCCTGTCCTGGGGAGGGTGGAGGTGAGATACCCCCAGCAATGTTCAGGAGTCCACAAGGCTGTCCCCTCCTGGGGTGACCCTGGCCAGGGGTCCCCAAGGCTGTCCCCTGCTGGGCTGATGTGACCTTTATTACGTTTAACCACCACTATTTTGTCCCCTAGATCGTTTTTATCATTTATTTGGCAGATAAACCATTTCTCTCCTTGGCAGCCGAGTTTTCATTGTCAGCGCTGGCAGCAGTACCCGCCTTTAGTGGGGTGACACAGGCCACTTGCCAGTGTCACCCGTGGTCACCCCTTGCCACTCAAGGTCAGCGTGTCACCTGTCACACCCTGCCATGGCAAGGCTGGGAGGGGACGATGCTCTGCCAACCCCTTGGCGCTGCCCCATGCCCCAGTGTCCGTCTGTCCCCGGCCCCAGGGGGGCCGTGACTCATCGGGAGGCGGGCGAGAGCACCTCTCCTTGAGCGGGGATAAGAGCGAGGACACCCTCCCCTCTCCACCGCCCGCTCCAGGCCACCCTTCCCTCTCTGCCGCCCGCTCCCATGCTCGCCCGTGCTGCGCCCAAACCCGGCGCCTTGCGGGGATGTCCCCCTGTCCCAGCCGGGGGGTGCCACCGGCTTGGGGGGGCTGCCGCCCCCACCCCCTCAACTCCCCGGCCCTTCAACCAGCTGCCGGGGGAGTGGCGAGCCGGCTGGCTCAACCTGTACCGCTTCTGGCAGGAGGGCGGCTTGAACAACGTCCACCACATCATGGCTCGCAAGTTCCAGCAGTTCGGGCCCATTTACAGGTGAGGTGGCATCTGGCCCCCCTCCTTGCCTCTCTCACCCTGCTCCCCAACCCCAGTGGCTTTTCCACACCGGGATGATGCTGCTATTCCCAGCTCTGCTCAGGGCGAGGGAGGGGGGAATATGTAACTGAGCTGCTGGAGGAGCCTGGCTTGCCGTGCGCTGACCAGGCTTGATGCCACAGTGATGGGCGAGAGGGGGGCAGGAGGAGACAGAACTGGTGCCCTGGGGGGAAACAGGGAATGGGAGTGAGGAGGGGACAGACCCTGTGCCATGGGAGGGGGACAGGGAACGGGAGGCAGGAAGGGACAGGTCCTTGGGAGGGGGACCGGAAACCTGGGGCAGGAAGGGACAGACCCTGTGCCCTAGGAGGAGGTAGGGACCATGCGGTAGTGCCTTGTGGATGCAGAATATCGGGAGGATGGAATGGTGGAGCTGGAGAGGATTCTGCCCTCCCTGATCTCCACAGGGTCTGGATCTGAGAAGGAAGGGCTGGGGATTTGATTTCAGCACCACTCTCTATTCCCACCTGAGTCCTGAGGGCCCGATCCTGGTGCTGAGCCCCTGCATTCCCCAGGACGGGATCTTCCAGCAGGATTTTAGGGCACGCAAGGGGGTGGGGGGTTGATTTGGGGTTGCTGAGGTTCAGAGTGCAGGGCTGACCCTCCTCTTCATCCCGTCAGGGAGAAGCTGGGTGTCTACGAGAGTGTGAACATCATCAGCCCCCGGGATGCCGCCACCCTCTTCCAGGCAGAGGGGACACTGCCAGAGCGCTTCAGTGTCCCCCCCTGGGTGGCATATCGTGACTTCCGCAACAAGCCCTATGGTGTGCTCCTCAAGTGAGTCGGGGGGCCAGGGGGTGCCCTCAAAATGGGGCTACCAGGTCCTATTGCCATAGCCCCAGCACAAGGGCTGGGGGAGAAGCTGGAGCATGAGGAGGGTGATGGGGACATTGGCTGGTCCTGGGCTTTGGGGAGTGGCATCCCCTGGGTGAGGGGGACACCTCTGACCCCCACTTTGGTGTCCCGCAGGACAGGGGAGGCCTGGCGCTCGGACCGCCTGATGCTGAACAAGGAGGTGCTGTCGCCACAGGTGGTGGAGGGGTTTGTGCCTCTGCTGAGCCAGGTGGGTGAGGATTTTATCCGGCGGGCGCGAGCCCAGGTGGAGAAGAGTGGCCGGGACCAGTGGACGGCCGACTTCACCCACGAGCTCTTCCGCTTCGCCCTGGAGTGTGAGTGTCAGGGGCATGAGCCTCAAAGCCTGTGTCCCCACAAAAAACCCGCCCTTTTCCCCAAGCTTCATCCTCAGAGATGGGCCAACCAGCGTCTCTCCCAAGGCCGAAGTGTGTAGAGCAGTGTCCTCTCTCCAGGCAGGATGTCCTCTCTTTAGACAAGAGAACAACTCAATACTTGATAAAACACTCTTTTATCATTTACTGGTCATCAGCTGGTGGCCAACCCTACCCAAACCAACCCCTCATGATCCTGAGCAAACAGGAGGCCAAGCCAGGCCTTGGAAAGGCTGGAGCTGGCCATGGGATGGTGGAAGGGGATGGGCCCCCTCACGGGTGCTGTCCTTGCAGCCGTGTGCCATGTGCTGTACGGGGAGCGCCTGGGGCTGCTGCAGGACTTTGTGGACCCCGACGCGCAGCGTTTCATAGATGCCGTGAGCCTGATGTTCCACACCACATCACCCATGCTCTACCTGCCACCCGCCCTCCTCCGCCACCTCAACACCAAGACGTGGCAGGACCACGTCCAGGCCTGGGATGCAATCTTCTCCCAGGGTGAGTGTTCCTCCTGCCTGCACCTCCCTTTGTCATCCAAGGTCCCTTTGAGGGCTTGGCTCCATAGTGCAGCCCCATGTCACCACTCTGGAGACGTTCTCCTGGGTCCAATCACCAAGGCCAAGTAGGGTTTTCATGTCTGGAGCTTGTGGGATGGAGCCGAGGGGAATCATCCAGGAGTGACAAAGGGCAGATGATGGGCAGCATGTTGAGGGGAGCAGCTCTCCCAGAGGGGCTTGTGGCCTCAGAGATCTTTGGGCACCTGGGATAACCCTCCTGCAGGCTGTCTCCCCCTGGGGCAGCAATGTCCTGAGGTGCCTTCCTCCTCCACCGTTCCTTGGGGGAGGAAGACCATGCCATGCCTCCGTGTCTCCTCAGCGGACAAATGCATCCAAAATGTCTACCGGGACCTACGGCTGCAACGCAAGAGCACCAAGGAGTACATGGGCATCCTCTGCAACCTCATCATGCGGGACAAGCTGCCCTTGGATGACATCAGGGCCAGTGTCACCGAGATGATGGCGGGCGGGGTGGACACGGTATGGAGCAGGCAGGGTGGCTGGGCAGGGTGCAGGTCCTGGCTGGTGCTGAGCCTTGCTCCCCTGCCCTGCTCCAGACCTCCATGACGCTGCAGTGGGCCATGTTCGAGCTGGCACGGGCCCCGGGGGTCCAGGAGCAGCTGCGGGCAGAGGTGCTGGCTGCCAAGCGTGAGGCGGCAGGGGACAGGGTGAAGATGCTGAAAACCATCCGGCTGCTCAAAGCTGCCATCAAGGAGACGCTCAGGTGAGGAGGAGCCCCACTGAAAAACACCCCCAGCCCCTTCCCTTCCTGAACCGTCATGAATCGAAGGGGGATGTGGGCAGGCCAGGCTGTCCCCATGATGAGATGTTTGGCATTTGTCTCCCCAGGCTGCACCCTGTGGCCGTGACCCTGCAGAGGTACACTACTCAAGAGGTCATCCTCCAGGACTACTGCATCCCCCCCAAGGTAAGCATGGCCACCGGGTCCCTCCTCACCCTGACGGGGTTGTGGGACCTGGGTGACATGGGGGGAGCAGCTGGAGGGCTGGATGCCATCCCTGCACCCCAGCAAAGCCACGTGGAGAGCCCAGACCCACAGGGCTGATCCCTCCCTACAGACGCTGGTGCAGGTCGGTCTCTATGCCATGGGCCGGGATCCTGAGGTCTTTCCCAAGCCAGAGCAGTTCAGGCCCCAGCGCTGGCTGGCAGCTGGCCCCAAGCACTTCCAGGGACTGAGTTTTGGGTTTGGACCACGGCAGTGCCTGGGGCGCCGGATCGCTGAGCTGGAGATGCAACTCTTCCTCATGCAGGTGAGCATCCTGCTGCTGGGGACACCGGGACTTGTCACTGGGAGGGATCAGGGAAGTGGCACGTGGGTGTTGCTACCTCTGGAGTTTTCTGTGTAATCCCAGAATGGTTTGGGTTGGTAGGGATCTTAAGGATAATCTCATTCCAACTCCCTGCCATGGGCAGGGACCCCTTCTGCTAGACCAGGTTGCTCCAAGCCCTATCCAACCCATCTGCTCTGTTCTCTTTCATTCCAGATCCTGGAGAACTTCAAGATTGAAACTATGAGAGCAGTGGAAATTGGGACCAAGTTTGATCTCATTCTTATCCCAGACAAACCCATCTACTTGACCTTACGGCCGCTCGAGTCCCGGGCGTGACGAGCCTGATCCCGGGTGACACCCAGCCCGTCCCCATTTCGGGACATCTCCCACATCCCAACAGGCACTTTCGGCTCCTTCCAGCCAGTCTCCAGCCTGGGGATGGGATTTGGGGGACGTCTGGGACGCTTTCAGGGCCGCAGCCTTGGCTTGCTGCATCTCTGCCTTGGCTCAAGGCTGCGCTTACGCCACGGGGGAGATAAACTGAAGCCACCCCAAGGGAGTGCGGGGTGGGAGGGTGGGTTGGTGCTGCTGCACCCTCCGGCTGCTCGGGGCTCCCTGGGAACCGCACAGGGACTGCGGCCGAGCTCCTCCGACCCCCTCCAATGTTCTGCTTTGCCTCTCATTTCCTCTGTCATCGCATCCCGTGAAAAAGCACCGGCTTCTTCCTGCCAGCATTGCGTCTCTCCGTCTCTCTCAGCGGGCGCGGGTTAGGGCAGGGGGGGCAGAGTGTGGGGTCTTCTCCGGGGGGCCGTGGACATTGCAATCAGGTTCTGCTGAGGGACAGGAAAAGGTCTTGGGGAGCTGTAAATGCAGCCTCGCCCTCTGGGGGGCATCAGGTGAGAGGGCTCTGGGTTGGCAAGGGAACATTCTGGGATTCTTGAGGGCCCCAGATTCCCCCCAGTGTGAGGGTGGGCATGGAGACCACCCCTCGCACCCCTCCCTCAAACTGTCCAAGAGCACATACGGGTGGCTCTGAGTCCCGATCCTTCCTGCTGGCAGCAAATACCGGCTGCCAGCTCCCGTGAGGGGTGTCCTTGGTCCCCCCTGTGTGCTCACCGAGGGGTGGGGGAAGCCATTCTCCTGCTCCAGCAGACGAGTTCCGAGCTCCTGCTTCTCCCGGCCCCACTTCCTCGCTGCCTTCTCCAGCTGGGACAGACCCAAAACAGGCTGGCTCTCCCCAGAAAATGGGGGCCAGAGACACTCCAAGCCCCCCAGCATCAAGTGGGGTGCAGAGGGGTGATGCCCACCTGCCTGTCCAGCACCCGCCCGCGGGCTTGTGCCTCCTCCAGCCTGGCCAGCAGAGACAGCTTCTCCGTGCCCCCCAAAACACCCTGTGGGCACGAGGTGAGCTGGAGCGGGAACGGCCGTGCTGGATTCCCCCGCTCTCTCCCGCTGCTCACGGCGGGGGCAAGCCGTGGGGTGGCTATTGCCCCACGGAGCCGGAGATGCCACCCAGGTGATGCCCCCAGGAGAACCCCCAGTAGTGCTTTCTGGGGTGCCACGGCTCTGCCCCCTCCCCAGTCCTGTGCCCTCCCCCAGTCTCACCGGCAGGGCTGGGGGCCGCGGGGCGATGGGGGCTACAGGGTGGGCGGCCCTCGCCAGCTCCTCCCGCAGCCGGCGGTTCTCGGCCAGCAGCGCGGTGTGCATTTCCCCGGAGAGGGCTTCACCTGGGGAATGGCGTGGGGGGGACACTGGGACGTGTCCTGCGCCCCTCCCCGTGCAGGGATGGGGGCTAGAGCAAGCCCTTGCCTCTCCCATGCCCAGGAATGTGTGCTGGGGGGCTCAGGACCGACTAATCCCCCACCATGGATCATCCCAGGGAACCCAGCAGCTGGGTACGGGACCCCCCCCCCCCGAGAGTCCTCATTCCCACCCACCTGCCGGCTTTTCCGTGCTCCTGCCTGCCCTGGTGAGTTTCTCCTGCAGCACCCGCTCCATCACCTGGATGACCTGTGGGAGAGGGCAGAGCTGTCTCCACGTCATCAGCCCAATGCCAGGCTGTGATGATCATCTCATGGAGGAGCCAGATGGGACAGAGGGTCCCGTCTGCTCCACAGAGCCTTGTGCCCTCCGGTCTGTCCTTCTCACCCCAACCTAATGCCCCATGGCTCACCTTCTCCTGCTGCTGCACAGTCTCCTCCAAGCCCTTTGCCTTGGCCACCTTATCCTGGCACCTCCTCAGCATGGCTTGCTGCAGCCGGTGGGCTCGCTGGAGCAGCACCAGCTCCTTCTCCCGGTCATTTTTCTGCGAGGGAGGAAGAGGAAATTCCCCCAGGGAGCTCTGTGCTGAGCCTCAAGCCTTGAGGCATCACCTGGGAGAACCTCATGGAGGGGTCCTGGGGCTCTCAGGCACTTGCTGGGCTCTGGGGGGCCCCGCTGCTCCCCTGCTTTTCCAGCCCACTCCCTCCCCCAGGCAGCCCCTGCTCACATCCATACCCGGATCAGCTCATTCTGCAGCTGCTGGACGCGATCCTTCAGTCTCCTCATCTCTGCTGTGCTGGCCACCAGCTGGTGCTTGAGGGTGGCTGCAAGAGCCCATGCCACATCCTTGTCACCCGGCCAGGGGACCGGGAAGGAGGTTCCCCAGTTTCCACCTGCCCCCTCCCCGCCACACACCGAGCCTGTCCAGCAGCTCCTCCCGGGTCATGACGTGCAGGTCGGCGTCGTGGAGCAGAGTGTGGCCCAGCTCCTGCTGCGAGGCCAGGCTGCCCCGCAGGTGCTCGTTCTCCACCTCCAGGCTGGTGACGTGCCGGCGCAGGGACAGGAGGTCCCCTGCCATCCGCTTCAGTGCCAGGCAGTAGCTGCCCACATCCTGCCAGCCCAGAGCAGAGCTGCTGGCACCCCACGGCAGCCAGGGCTGTCCCCAGATCCAAGGGATCAGCTTGGGATATGTGGGTTGAGGATCAGACCCACTGTGGAGAGCTAAGGAACATCCAGATTTTCCACTCCTCTTGACACCATCCATCCTTCTCTACCTCTTCCATCCATCCTTCTCTTTCCCATTTGTCCATCCATCCATCCATTCATGTGTCAATCCTTCTTTTCTCTTCTCCATCCATCCTTCTCTTCCCCATCCATCTATCCATCCCTGCATTCATACATTCATTCTTCTCATCTCCATGCATCCCTCTCCAGCCACTTGTCCTTCACTTCTCTAGCCATCTATTATTCTTTTTCCCATCCATCCATCCACACGTTCATGTATTAATCCTTCTCTTCTCCATCCATCCATCCATCCATCCATTCATCCATCCATCCATCCATCCATCCATCCCTCCATCCATCCATCCATCCATCCATTCATCCATCCTTTTCTTCTCCAGCCATCCATTCTTTCCTTCCAAACCTTCTCCTCTCCTTCCACCCAACAGACCCCTCCTTCATTTCCCCATCTTTTCCTACAACCCCCTTGGGGAAATCTCCCAAGGATGTGGGGTGGAGCAGTGCTGGATCTGGGAGTCATCCCCAAGCTCTGAGCCTTTCAGGGCTTTGCAGGTCTTTGAAAGAAGGGATGGGGTGAAGAATAACAGAAAGATGATGCCAGGTGGTGCTGGGGGGATAAAATTCCCTGTGGATTTTTATCTTTTTAGGCTGATACCCCTCTCTGCCACGCTGGGAGGATCCTGACAGCAGAGACCTTGGCCAGAGGGAGCTGTGTGCCTCCAGCTCCCCTAGGCCCCCTGCTCCCAGCCTTGGGAATGGCCTTGGCCAGTGGCCCGTGGGGGGGCCAGGGCGTGGGGAGGGGCTGCAGCAGCATCACGTAGCCTTGGGAAGGGGGGAAAGGGGGGCAGGTGCAGCCAGAGGCTCTGCTCCTTCCTCCCCATCTGCCCAAGAGCGGTTTCATCCAGGTTTTGGTTTGTTCCCAAGGTAAAGGTCCCTCCAGCCAAGCTCAAGGGCTGCCCCCCACCCCCTCCCAGACCTTCACTGGCTTTGGGAGCCAGGACCAACCTTGGGGACACTGCTTTTCCTCTGCAGTGTCCCCACTGTCCCTGCTCCTGCCGTCTCCCTGGCACTCACCAGCTCCTGGCGATCTCCAAATTTCTCCTGGGACCTGCAGAGCCAAGAGCAGGGGGGACACTGTGAAACACCAGCAAAACCCTGGCCAAGGAACTCTCTGTAGGAGACAGGAGCCTGTTTGGGGTGCTGGGAGGGACGGGAGTGCAGGAAGGGTGGGAGGCTGGAGGAGATGAGGAGTAAGATCTGCAGCACTGGGGCAGGAGGAGAAGCCGCTGGGAAAAATATGGGGAGAGTGGAGGAAGGATGAAATCACCCCAAGGAGGATAAGAAGAAGGAGCCAAACCCACAGCAGTCCCCGTACCTCTGCTCTCCATGTGGGAATGGCTGCTTTCCGGGCAGGATACTGGCCACGGCATCAACTGCTGGGAGGGACATGTCATCTCGATGGAGCTGGCAGGAGACATCAGGGCACAGGGTGAGGATGAGGAGCAGGCTGGGGAGGAACAAGCTCCTTCATCCCCTTTCCCACAGCTGGGAGCAGCTCTCCAGGCTTTCACCTGGAGCAAAACACCTTTGCCGTTGTTGCTTTGGGATCAAGGTCCAGCTCTGCCCCAAAACCTCTGGAATGACTGGCTGTGATGCTCCAAGCATCCCGTTTTGGGGCTTGGATACAGCCAGAGGGCTGGGAGACCTTCTCCTGAGGATGGGGGTACTCAGAAACTCCTGACTTTGTATCATGGAATCATTTAAGACCATCGAGTCCATTCACCCAGCACTGCCAAGACCAGCACTAAACCACGTCCCCAGGTGCCACCGCTACATGTTAGACGTGGATGCAACTCCATGAGCATCATTCCACAGCGGGACTGTTGAGCCAGATACCCTTGCTCAGGTGTAACAGGGATCTCTGGGTCCTCCCCTCCCCTGGTGACACCAGGTGACGTCCCCATCCCCACCTGCCGCTCCCAGCACTCACAGTGGAGGAGAAAGGTCTGTAGTAGAGCATCCTTCCCGCTCCTGGGGTGTCTCGGTCCCCCCAGCACCCCGTTCCCACAGTCAGCCCTGCCCACAGCAGGTTGCCAAGCTCCTCCTGCCCCAAACAAATCCCCCCCAGGCAAACCTCGTGTTCCTGCACCACTGCCTGAGCTGCAGCCGGGGGACTTGCAGTGATGCCGGGGGGCTGTAGCATGAGGAAAAGCTGGTTTTCCCAAGCCCTTTCCACTGGTAAAAGGATTTAGGTGGCATGGAGCTCCCAGCACACTGGCAGCTGTTGCTACAACACAACTCGCCTCTTAGCAACTCCTCCCTGGAGCAGCTGGGAGGCCAAAATCACCCGTCTGCACCCAGAATGGGAGAATTCCAGAGGCAGACAGGTGCCCTGGACATCTGCATCTCTTCCCCTTCAACAGCCCATTGTTGCTTCCAAAACCATCAGAGCTTGTGGAGACCTCAGCCCCTCGCTGCTTCCAGCCCTCCCTTCTCATTCCCATCCTGATTTTGGGCGGTTTTTTTGCCTTATTCCCTGCTCCCAGCAGTGCAGAGCCAAGGAGGGTGACTTGGTGGAGGCCACCACCAGATCCCAGCGCTCCTGGGTGGCTCCAGTGATGACAGCGCCTCATTTCCATGCATGGAAATGCTCTGCCTTCCCAGCACGCTCCTCTGATGTTTCAAACACTCAATTAACTTCAGAGGACCCACGTCTGGGAGGTGCTGGGTGGCATCAGGCTTCAGCTCCACCTTGGAGTTTGGCCTGGGAATAATTCGCTGGATAATTTGCTGAGCAAACCCCACTTCCGTCCTGAGACTGAATTTAAAGTGTTTTAAGGCATGGGATTCTCTGTCCCAGCTTGTCCCTCATCCTGTCCCTTTTTCAGGGTCCCCACAGAGGCTCCTGTGCCTCCCACCTGCTGCGGCATCCCACATCCACCTCTGCTCCAGGGTTTGTTAGGGAACAAAGAGGCCGGTGTAAGTCAGTGGAGCCCTTCGCTGCCTCATCCCGTGCCATCAATTTTTCATCAAGGAGATGGTGGGAAGCGTGCAATTATCAGCTCCATCAATAATGCACTTGCCTTGCCTGGGCTGCCTTCCACCACGGCTTTTCCAGGCTCAGACTACACCTGCAGAGCCTGGAAAAGCTCCCCCAGCCTGTATTCCCAGCCCAGCGCTGCTCAGAATCCCACCATCCCGGCAGGCAGCATCACCCCAGGGACAGGGTTAAAGGCATTTGAAGACATTTTTCCCTACATCTCCTATCTCAAATCCCTACGGAGATCGCTGCGTCTCTCCTTCCCACAGGGGTCCGGGATGAAAGGCTGGGAATCCGCGTCTGAAATGATGGAAGCTTTGAAACTCCTGGCACTCGTTATTTATTTTTTAATTTTTTTTTTTTTCCTCCTCATCATTTCCAAGCTCCTCTGAAGCTTCTCCTGCCTTTGGAGCCTTTCATCACCCGATATGCCACCCCCCCCTCCTTCCCATATTTGCTTAGGCCAAGTTTGGGGTTTTTTTTATATTTACTTAACAAATTGCTCCAAGATGCTTTGATGTATCCGATCAGCTTTGACTGCTGGAATCAATTCCTCTCTAGATGGAGCAGCACGGAGCAAAGCGAGACGGGGAGGGGGCTAGAAATAAACCTCTGCAGGAGGCAGGAAGGTCCGAAAATTGCCAAAAATAGGGTGTGCCAGAGGGTTCTGCATCCACATGGCACGTGTGGACCCCGTCCCTGTCTGAGGAGAGGACATGAGAAAGGCTGAGGATGGGACAACTTGTTACACGTGTGAGCACAGAGGCATTTGAGCCCCCTGACGGCCTCCCACCCTCTGCTGCAGCACAATCTCCCTCCAGCTCCACAGATAAAACATCCATGGATGAATATTAAGCCTAATTCCTTAATTGTTAGGAAGATGGGATAAGCTCGGATTTACATATCTGAGGAGAAAAAAAAAATTACTGCAGTGGCTTAGGAAGATCAGAGGGAAAAAAAAAATCCCATTTTCCCCTCTTTTCTATAACAAAAGCTCATGAACTCATCAGGAGATGGCGATGCCTCTCTTTGCTTTGTCCATTGCCCCCATCAACCTCGCATATTCCCTTGGGATGCAGGTATAGATGGGGCTGGGGTTGATGCCAGGTCCCAGATCCCTGATGTTCCTGGGTACCCAAACCACCCTCAGGACATCTGGGTGGCCAGATCAGTGGGGAAAACGTTGGTTTTCCTCCTCTGCTTCTAAAATCACAGTGTTTTCCTGGGGAACCCCAATTCCCGGGGGAAATACGGAGAATTTTAGCCCGGCTGCTCCCCTTACACCTTGGCAGGATGTGAAAGGCAGCAAATAAACGGGGTTTTATCTGATTAAATCAAGGCTGAACTCCCTTCCCAAGCACCGGGGGGGGGCCGTGCTGGGGGGGGGGTGTATTAGGCAAAGCATTACAATTCAATTTAGGAGTTAATTGGATTGCATTGAAAACTGCTTAATCTGTGCCACGTCCCATTTAATAGAGACACCACATCTTCTGCTGCCCCCCCCCAGCCTCGAGGACGAGTTTAGGGCGGGCGATTGCCATCGCTCTCCGGCTCCGGGCCCAGCTGCCGGCTGCTGATATCATGTTTTACAAGGATATAAAAGCCTCTGGATTACACTGGGTAGCTCGGGGAGGGGAGATGCTCCATGGAGAGGAGGCTGCTCCGCGGGCTCCCACCCTCCCGCCTGCTCCTTCAAGATAAGGCTCAAGGAAGCAGCTGTGCCACCAGCAGGGATTGTGAGTCCTCTGTGAGTCGCTGCTGGTTTATTTTCCTCAAAGAAAATGAAAGGAAGACAAAAAAAAAAAAAAAAAAAAGAAAAAAGAAAGACAAAAAAAAAAAAGGGAAAAAATATATGCAGCTAGGAACAGGTGGGATAACTTTTGAGAGCAAACGCCGGCTGAGTCAGCTCCTGGCTCCTGAGAAACAGTTTTCCCCCTCATCCTGCTACTTTCAGGAGGGATGGGGACAGCCAAAGTGATGTCCCCAAGTGATGCCCTGGTCCTGATGGTGCCCAGTGGGAAAGAATCTCCTGGGTTGGGTTTCTCCTCCCAGCATGGACCAGAGCATCCCCCAGTGCTGCTGCTCATCCACGACCACAAACGGGGGCCAGACCTAAAAAAATCCCCCTCCTGAGATCAAAAAAATGAGGGAAACAGATTCCAGCTGTTATTCTGGATCCCCACTGAGTCCTTGTGGGTTTTTTTCCTCCTAGGAAAACATCCACATTTGTGTTTTAAGACAAACCTCGGGGATGTGAAGAAGTGGAGAAATATCACCAGAAGTCCCCAGTGCCAGATGGGGCAGCACTAGGCAGCTCCACAGAGACAGTTATCCCAACATACCTTCAAAAATCCACGCATGGGACCCAAGTTAAACCACACTTTTTAGGTGCCCTAGGACCAGGAAAGGCTGAGAAGTCCCTAAACAAGGATGGATGAGTCCCTCTGTGCCAGGTTCACTGAGGGTTTAGTAGCACTGCTGGGCTGGGTTGGAGCAGGACACGCAAGGGTGCCACACGTTCCAAAGCAAGCACCCCCAAGCACATAAAAATGGTATTTTGGAGACAGTTTTCTCTTCTTCCATGCTCTGGATCAGTGCTGGTGCCCCCAGTCCCTACCCCACACAGCTAAACCCTCAGCCACCCAGACCCAAGCAGGAGAAACCCATGCAAGGCCCACCTTTGCCCAAGGCCTGGGTCACCAAAAAAAACCCCTCATGCAACATAACTGTGGCACTTGGATCATTTTCAACCCCTTCAGCCCACACACAGCCTCCCCCAGCCCTTTACCCTTGGGTCCCTGCCTCTCCAGCACCCTCTGCTGCCCTCCAAAACCCACGTCCCTCTGTCCCAGTCCTCGCCATCCCACCTTCTCCTTAAGAAAACAGCTTTTCCCGTTACTTTTACTCTCCCCCAGCTCAGCAGTGACATTGCAGATGGGTTTGGGGTGGCTGGCAGGTTTCTGCTGTAAATGCCTTTACCCTGCCCCTGTTCCTGGAGGCAGTGCCAGGGTGGTGACCTCTGGGGTCACATCAGCTCACTTATGGGCCTGTTTTATTAATTAGTTTAATCCTGCTGGGGGATCCCCCCCACCCCGTACCCACCAGCCTGCCGCGCACTGAGCCCCGTGCCCGTGGCTGCCGGGGCACCCACGGGTGTCCAGTTCCCGGCAAACATCTCCGAGCATCCCCGGGCTGGGCAAAGCGAGGCATCTCCGTCCCAGCTCCAGAGGAGCGGTATCCGGGGTGGAGGGTTGTCCTCTCCCCGGTGGGGAGCCGGGACCGGCGGAGCTGTCGCTAGATGGGGCTGGAGCCTCGCACGGGCCGGCGGCCGCCTGTGCCCTCAGCACCCTCGGCCCTGCAGCATCTTCGTCCCGCGCAGCTTCCTCAGCCTCTGCAGCATCTACACCCCCTGCAGCACCTTCACCCCTCACAGTGCCTTCTCCTCTTGCACCGTCCCTTGCAGCATCCTCATCTTTCACATCCCTGTGTCCCCTCAGCCCTCACGGCACCCTCAGCCCTCACAGCACCTTCACCCCGTGCAGCACCCTCTCCCTATGCATTATCCTTTTTCCTCACAGCATCCTCATCTTTTGCACCCCTCTGTCCCCTCACCCCTCACAGCACCCTCTCCCTTTCCAGCACCCTTTTTCCTCACAGCACCCTCTCCCTTCGCAGGGGTGATGGGGTTCACTGTCCTTTACCCTTGCAGTCTCCTCATCCTTCACATCCTCCTCTTCCCTCACGTTGCCCTTTCCCTCTACAGCACCCTCTCCCCTTCCTGCCCCCTCTCTCCTTGCAGCATCCTCACACCTTGCTGCACCCTCTCTCCTTGCAGCATCTTCACTCCTTGCTGCACCCTCTCCCCGTGCACCATCCTCTTTCCTTGGAGCATCCTCATCTATCCCATTCCCCTCTCCCTCACAGCACCCTTTCCCTTTACAGCACCCTTGTCCCTTGCAGCACCCACACTCCCCATGCACCAGCCTTTTCCCTTGCAGCATCTGCATCCCTCAAATCCTCCTCTCCCCTTGCAGCATCCTCACACCTCACAGAACCCTCTCCCCCTGCAGCATTCTCACACTTTGCTGCTCCCTCTCCTCTCCTCATGCACCATCCTTTTTCCTTGCAGCATCCTCATCCTTCATATCCCCATCTCTCCTTGCAGCATCTTCACCCCTTGAAGCACCG